CAGCATGTTTTCCTGCACACTAGGGATACCCTCTGGGGTTCCCCTTCACATAATAATTCATAACACCAGTGCTACGCTACTTAGTTGCCATATGTTTGTGATGTAGTTGGAAAGCAGAAATGGAACAGCGCAGTCTTGTTCTTTCTCTTTCACCAACTAGAGTCCTTTGTGGATCTTTATGAACTGTAGGATTTTTCTCCTTTTGTGTGAAGCATGTCCATTGGTATTCTAATAGGGATGACATTAAATCTGTAGACTGCTATGGGGATGTCCTAGTGAGGTTTCTGTTGGTCGAATAACCACATGACCAAAAGCAGCTGTAGGTGGAAGGTTTATTATACTTTCAGATGGCAGTCCATCATGAATGGAAGTCAGGGCAGGAACTCAAGCAGGGTAGGAACTCTGGGGGCAGGAACTGAAGCAGAGCCCATGGCAAGCCTCTTAGGCCAGCTTTTTATGACTTGCTCAGCTTTCTTTCTTATGCAACCTAAGACCTCTGCCCAGGGGTGATGCTGCTAGGTCCTCTTCCATCAATCATTTCATCTAGAGAATGCCCCACAGACTACCTATGAAGCATAGAGGCAATTCCTCAACTGATGTTTCCCTCTTTTTGGGTGACTCTAATTTGTGTCAAGTTAACAAAAACCAACCAGCACAGAGAACTACAGACATCTCAACAGTACTGATTTATCTTACTAGTGAGCAGAAGATATCTTGCATTTATGCTTTCCTTTAAATTCCTTCATTCACATTTCATAGTCTTCAAGAGATTAGGCTGAAAAAAAATCTGCTCTAAGTCATTGAGGCCACACTTGGTGTGTGATGTGTTTCTTCTTCTTGTTAGCTTTGCAGAAATTATTGTCATGGGGTCTGAGGTTAGGTGGGGAGAAAAACCACACAGGGACAAAGGCTAGGTTGACCTTTCTGCCCTGACTTTTTTGGAGTTGACAGACAACTGGGCAGGCACCACACAGGAACAACCCTGACATACTGCTGAGCTGTGGGTGCTGCCCACTGTGAACACCATGTCCTTTCTTCTTTCTATTAGCTGCATAGCTGTGGTGCTTAAATGAGTGTTCCCTGGACAGTGACAAGAGAGAGTGCCTCAGAAGTATCTCAGAATGTTAAGAGAGAAAACTACCAGCCAAGAACACTCCCCCTCCCTGCCCCATCCCTAAATATTGGTGTATGGCTCTGGGGAAGAGAGTAGATTGACATGCTTGAGATGTTCCTCTGATGGTTCTCAGTTGAATTTCATTCAGTTCTGTGGTCCGTGAAGCTAGCTGAGGCTTCTGTCTAAGTGTATGAGAGGCAAAGTCGTCCTGGTCTCTGAGTAATTCAGTTAAGGAGTATATCGTGAGCAGGAGGAATGTGAGAACTCAGATTGTACCAATTGCTGAAATCACTGTCCTTAGTTTTGATTTTCAAAGACAATGATGGAAAGTGCCACTTGGTGCCTAGGACAAGGTCTTGTAACGTTTAGGTTCCTTAAATGAATGGTATTGTCTTCCTAATAAGGATTGGGTAGCAATATTGCCTGTTGAACCCCTCCCTGACTCCTCCTCAGGTTTCCTGACACACATCACACGGTTTCCCATTGAGAGCATCTGGAAACTCTGTAATGCAGCGGGATCACATGAGACACCACAGGTTTTCTTGTGTCCTTTCTCTGTGCAGGCCCACTATAGCTGTCCTGACACCTGTGGCTATGCTTTGTCTTCTAGGAGCTTGAGGATTCAGCTTCCTAGTCTGTTTTTTCTCAAATGATTTTTTTTTGGCAGAGTTACACCTCTGTATACTAGCTTGTAATTCTGCAAGGACCAAATAGTGACAACCTCAAGGAGCCAGAGCTCACATTGACTTCTCTACCCGGATGGGCCACTGCCCCCGTCTGGTTATCGGATGGTCTGTCTTTGCTGTCCAGTGACAACACTGTCAAAGTAGCTGGATGGCTATTGCAGCAGTGTCTGGTCCAGGGAGTCACAAGTTATCTTCCTGGTCAGGCAGTTTCTCAAACTGTATCTGACACTGAGCAAAGCTGCAGACTAGTCTCTGAGGTTAGAGTATCCTGCTCAGAGTCAGATCTTCACAGTGCCAGATCCGCACAGGATCAGACACTATCTATGTGTTGTGGACTATTGGCTTAAGATGTGTTTCATTCATTTATGCTGTGGAATATGTGTTTAATGATGCAAACTTATGTTGCACTCATTTATGTTGCATTTGTTTAACTCTGTGAAGGTGTGTTACTTTGCCTGTCTAAAACACCTGATTTGTCTAATAAAGAGCTGAATGGCCAGGAGAGGGATAGGTGGAACTACAAGTCTGAGAGAATAAATAGGAGGAGAAATCTAGGTTCAGGAGAAGGGGGAGGAGCAAGAAAAGGAGAAGGAGAGGAGGACGCCGGAGGCCAGCTACCCAGCCAAACAACCAGCCATGGAATAAGAAAAAAAAGAAAGGATATAGAATAGAGAAAGGTAAAAGTCTAGAGGCAAAATGTAGAAGAAGAGAAATGGGTTAATTTAAGTTAAATTAGTAAAGCTGACTACAAACAAACTAAGCTAAGACTGGGCATTCATAAATAAGAATAAGACTCGGTGTATTTATTAGGGAGCTGAGTGGTGGGCACCCCCAATAAAACCAACTACGTGTATGCACAGTGGATTGCCTGTCTTCTGGGGGCAGAGCTGTATGGTGGATTTCTGCCTAAACTGTTTGTCTGAATTCCCAATAAATCAAGCCTGGCTCCTTCTCTAAAGTATGCAGAAGTGGAATTTAGCTGTCAGGGTGGAGCTGTTGCACAACCTTTCAAGCTGAGGGGATTGCCAGATTAAAAAAAAAAAAACATTTATGACGTTGTTTCAGAGAAATCATGACCTCTATTGCAGACCCAGGTTTGAAGAGTTATCAAATAAAATGTTTTGACTTTTAAATTCAGAAAAAATAAGAAGCTGCCTATAAGGATCCTCTACATTCATCACATTGACTGCCAGGCACTGAGCCTTGGGACTCTGCCCAGCATGCTGTAGGACTCCAGTAAACCAGTATTACACAGCCACTGTCCCCATCAAAATGGAAACATTCTCTGTGTTAGATCAGTTTCTGTTATTTCTGCAACCTTTCTAAGACAGGATGCCTTTCTTTCTGAACCTGGCTTTTAGACAGACATCCAGACAGAAGACAGAAGATGAAGAGCTGAGCCTCTGAAAGCTTGTTGCCTCCTTGATGATGGTCAGATTAAATTACTCCAGCCACAATGGCCAGGGGCTCTGCTTTCCTAGGAACAAAGGGATCAGAACTTAGTACTTCCACCTTTCACCACAATTCCAGGAAGGGGCTGATATTGAACCTAGTCCTGGCATTAAATAATGAGTCAGGACATGACAGTGTATCCAGTGAGTTCGTAAACAATCCCCTAATGACTTACTGTTTCTGACAAACATTAGTCAAGGGAACCATTTGACTTGTATCTACAACAGTGATGCCCAGAGTCTGCTCTCCACATACAGTTTAGGCACAGTGTTCCATCTCAACATGCAGGCACCAGACAACATGACCTTTGTGCAGAGACTCTGAGAGCAGGTTAATGACGATTTAACCAGATATTGTAAGTTTTGTGGTGTTAACTTTTCTATACCATCATGCATCATCTTGAAGGTAATTTCTCTGTGTGGTGTAAAGGTATAATTTTAAGTCTTCTCTTGTGTAGAAACAGGCCTGACATTTCTGTACCTCTCTCGTGCTACATCCACAAATCACACAACACAGCAACAGATGGGGTGAGTGTCCCAGGCCTATGATGTCAATAAGAAAAAGAGAAACCAGAGGCACTTGTAAACTTTTCCTAGCCTTCAAGACCCTTCCCAGAAGGTCCTCTTTGGAAAGTAGAGTGGTAATGGCTTAGTGATTCCACCTGGGGGAGGACATGAACCAAAAGGCAGTGACCACAGGGACCAGCCTCCGTGTCTCAGTGGTATCTCAGTGTGGCTGCCACATATGCCAACTCCACAGACCATCCCTGAAGCTGAGCTGATTGCCTTCTCTATCAGGAGAGGAGGTTCAAAACTACCTGGAGTCCTTGGGCTGTTTCTTCTAGCCCAACTTCTGAGTTACCCTACTAAGCCTTCCCAAATAGGAGAAGTCCCACTCAACCAATTCCAGAAATATGATGGAGCTAGTAATGCTTGGTCTAGGAAGCCAATAGTGGCTTCATTTATCCATGAAAGATGACCCAGCAACCTGGTCTGGCATTTAGGTGTCCACCTCTGTGGACCTCACATGAGCAAAGTCTGATTCTTTGAAGATGGCAAATGGAAGCAGAACTCTGAAAAAAATTTAAAAGTGGGCATGGGAGCTAGAGAGATGGTTTGGTGATCGGAAGCACTGGCTGTTCTTTCAGAGGACCCAGGTTCAATTTCCAGTATCTCCCTGGCAGATCACACCTGTATGTAAATCCAATTCCAGGGTTTCTTTTCTTTTTTTTTTGGTTTGGTTTTTTTTGAGACAGGGTTTATCTGTGTAGCTTTGTGCCTTTCCTGGAACTCACTTGGTAGCCCAGGCTGGCCTCCAACTCACAGAGATCCGCCTGCCTCTGCCTCCCGAGTGCTGGGATTAAAGGCATGCGCCACCACCACCCGGCCAATTCCAGGGTTTCTGACACCCTCACACAGACATATATGCAGGGACAACACCAATAACATAAAATGAAAATGATTTATTTAAAAATATACTGGCCATGATCCTCATACTAAGAGACTGCCACCTCCATGGATCCTATTTAAAAAAAAAAAAAAACCCACAAGCAACAGCCATAATAATCTAGAAAAGAGTTGGTCAATAACTCAAGACGGAATCAGAGCCTCCCTCCTTCCCAGGTTCCAGAACTGTTTTGAAGGAACAAAAGTAATCATTTCAGTCACTAAGGATCGATAATTATTGCTCTTTTGAGTAAATCATTAGCATTAAATTTAACATCACTTGGAAACATATAAATACATGTGTCCACTGAGCAAAGTCTTCTGCCTCTACTCAACCAGCTCTAGTAGAGGAACTCAGAGTCTCAGCAGCTGGACTGTCCCAGGCTCCGCTTCTCCTATGGCTCCTGCAGGTCTCCCAGCCTCCCTTCCTCTGTGTGTGTGTCTGCTGCTGGCCTCTGGCTTTGCCCAGGCAGGCAGGCTCCTGGTGGTGCCCATGGATGGGAGCCACTGGTTCACCATGCAGTCGGTTGTGGAGAAACTCATCCACAGGGGGCATGATGTGGTGGCAGTTATGCCAGAGGTGAGTTGGCAGCTGGGAAAATCCCTGAATTTGACAGTGAAGACATACTCAACTTCTTACACTCTGGAAGATAAGAACCGTGAGTTCAAGTATTTTTCTGACACTCAATGGAAAACTTCAGAACAAAGTATGTTTTCTTTTCTGACAGGCTCAGCCAAACATTTCTTTGAATTATTATTTTCACATTGTAGAGATTTGTTTAATGACAAGAAGTTAGTGGAGTACTTGAAGCAGAGTTCTTTTGATGCTGTGTTTACGGACCCTCTTGATGTGTGCGGCTTAACTGTGGCCAAGTATTTGTCGCTCCCTTCGGTGATCATCGCAAGAGATATATTTTGTCACTATCTGGGAGAAGGTGCCCAGTGCCCTAGTCCACTGTCTTATGTTCCCAGAGGTCTCTCGAAATTCACAGACACCATGACTTTCAAGGAGAGAGTGTGGAACCACCTCTCCTACATGGGGGAGCGTGCATTTTGCCCCCATTTTTTAAAAACTGCTACAGACATTGCCTCTGAAGTTCTCCAGACTTTGGTGACTATGGATGACCTCTTCAGCCAAGTGTCTATTTGGTTGTTACGCACAGACTTTGTGTTAGATTTCCCCAGACCTGTGATGCCCAACATGGTGTTCATTGGTGGGATCAACTGCCAACAAAGAAAGCCAATTTCTAAGGTATGTTATTTGTTGTTTAGCACATGAAGAGTGCCCTGGGTTTCGACAATAAAAAAGAAATTCTTTACTGAGCTGTAATTTATTGTTTATATCACTGCATATGGAATTTCTTCCTGGGTTGTAGAATTGTTTTGTGCCTATTCACTAATTAGGAAACAATTCTATATAGGTGCCCTATTCATATGTCCATGTACACCTGTGGCAATAGTGCATATACGTTCCAAGCTACAATCTAAATTTAAATATCTATGTATGCCTTCCTATTTGTGTGTGTGTGTGTGTGGCAGGGGCAATGCAATTAGGTAGTGGAGGGGACAAAGAAAACTTTCCTGTGGAGTGAAAGAGACAATAATGGTACACATGTCCCATGAAAACAGAAAAGGGAGCACTCAGAGGTAGAAGAGAACATATGGAAAGTAAGGGTAACTAGAAAAGAGTGGGGTAAACAGAAAAGACAAAATGCCTGGAAAATGGATTAATGCCACTGAATACTCTGTATGCTAACTTTAAAAAGTGATTTGAAGAGACAAAAACTTTCAAGCTACATTATACTATTTTTTAGAAATTTTTGAGAATTTTCAAGCCATGAAGCAGTCCTTATTTGTCGGCTGCACTCTATAGGAGTGCACATGTGATTTTTCCAAATTTTAAAAAATCATTGATATGATATGAGCATTGCTAAGTTGTTTTAGAGGACCTTGTTCTCGGGGTGTCCTCCATCCCTTTTTTCTCTCCACCTCTTTCTGCCTCTCTTCCTCATGGTTACCTGAGCTCTGATGGGAGGGATTTGAGAGAGCCGTCTCATTTAGAGCTGTGTTCTCCATGGTCTCTCTATGAAGTGTCTCTTGCTGTGTGTCTCTGTACTTGCTCCCATCTGTTGCATGAGGCCCCTGGCAAGGCATCTCTGATGATGGCTGACTAAGGCACTGATCCATGAGTCTAGCAGAATATCATTATGAGTCATTTAATTGTTATCTTTTCTTTAAGAACAGGAGAATTTGTTTTTACTCTAGCTGTCTGTACTTACAGACTCTGATGTTTGTCACCCAATCACTGTCAGGTATGGGTTCCATTCATAATGTGGGCCTTAATTCAAATCAGATACCAATTGGTTACTCCCACAAGGTTTGTGCCTCCATTTCCCTGGTGTATTTTTTGTTTGTTTGTTTTGTTTTGTTTTTAGAGATGAGATTTCTCTGCATAGCATTGGAGCCTGTCCTGGAACTCACTCTGTAGACTAGACTGGCCTTGAACTCAGAGAACCACTTGCCTCTGCCTCCCATGTGCTGGAATTAAAGGTGTGCACCACCACACCTAGTGTGTTTGCAGGTAAGACAGATTATAGAACAAAGGATTTGTGGTAGGGTTGGTGTTTTCTGTTCTCTTTTAGTGACTTGCAGAGTACATTTCCATGTCATAGATACTAGAACATGGGGTGAAGGTTTCATATAGGCACCAGCTCAACCTTTCCATGTTCATTGAGTTGTGTGGGTATTGTCTTTAACAATGGGGTCTTGGAAGTTTGGGGAGATCAACCTATTGTCTTGGCAACAGCCTGAGTTGTTTGGGATTTTCCATGGGAGCCCTTTGATGCACAACTGAATTGGATTGGCACTCTTCCCAAAAAGGAAGCTTAGTTTGGTAACAAGATATGGCCAGTAAGGGTTCTCTCTACCTTATTATTTGGAGACTTCTTTAGGATTGCCTTCATATATTACAGGAAGTATAAACTGCTCTGCACTAGGTTCTGTTCAGGAAGTCTGTTCCTAAGCCAAGGTACTCAAGGCTATTCCTCATTTTCTCTTCTAGGAGGTCCAATATATCTCTTTTTATGTTGAAGTTTTTCATCCATTTGGAGTTGAGTTTTGTGCAGGGTGATAAGTATGAATCTATTTTCATTATTCTACATGCAGTCATCCAGTTTAACTAGCACCATTTCTGGAAGATATTGTGATTTTTTTCAGTGTGTATTTCTGATTTATTTATCAAAATCCTGGTGTTCATAGGTGTGTGGTTGTTTGTCCAGGTCTTCAATTTGATTTTACTGACCAATGTGTTTATATATTTATTTTTTTAAAAACCAATACCATGATGTTTTTCCCACTATGATTTAGTAGTATAATTTGAGATCAAGAATGGTAAGAGCTCTTGTAGTTCCATTATTGTTCAGGATTGTTTCAACTATGCTGTTGTGTGTGTGTGTGTGTGTGTGTGTGTGTGTGTGTGTGTGTTTCCATATGAAGTTGTGAGTTGTCCTTTTAAGGTCTGTGAAGAAATGTGTTTTATAATTTATAGGGGGTTGCATTGAATCAGGAGATTGCTTCTGGTAGGATGGTCATTTTTACTGTGTTAATCCTTCAAATCCATGAACATGGGAGATTTTTCCATTTGTTATTTTCTTTAGTTTGTTTCTTTGAAGACTTGAAGTGTTTATCCTATCAGTCATTCATTTACTTGGTTGGAGTTACCCACAAGACATTTTATATTGTTTGAGGCTGTTGTGACCTTTCATTTTGTCCTTTTTGGTTTTTTGAGACAGGGTTTCTTTGTGTAGCTTTTATCCTTTCCTGGAACTCACTCTGTAGTCCAGACTGGCCTGGAACTCACAACGATCTGCCTGCCTCTACCTCCCAAGTGCTGTGATTAAAAGCAAGCGCCACCACCGCCTGGCTGTTTGAGGCTATTATGAATGGTGCTGTTCTGCTGTTTTCATTCTCAGGGTGTTTGCCATTTGTAAATATGAGGACTGCTGATTTTCTGATTGTGTATCCAGCTCTTTGCTGCTGTGTTATTCAGCTGTAAGTGTTCCCTGGTGGAATTTTTAGGGTCACTTATGTACACTATCATATCATCTGCAAATAAAGACCATTTGACTTCTTCCTTTCTGATTGGTATCCCCTTGATCTTGTTCAGTTACCTTATTGCTCTAGATAAGACTTCAAGTACTACATTGAATAGGTGTTGGAAGAGTGGACAATCTGTAAGTCATAAAGATAAACGAAGTTCTTTTCATAGTGTTTCACTTGTCATTAAGTTAGATACAGTCAAAACCAAAAATTAACACATTTGACATCTCCCTTTATTGGTAACTATCATGGTCTTTAGAGTGCCTGCTCCAAGATCACATCAGGTATGCAAAATAATCCATGATATCAATGAGAACAAACTTTTTCTATCTGAGAGGTAAGGAAGGAACACACCTATTTTGATGCTAACTTTCTTTATTCCTCTATCTTGAAAATATCTTTCCTTGTTTGTCTTTAAAAGTTATATATATAACTATTTACAAATATATATATTTCCCAACAGAATATATATATATATATATATATATATATATATATATATATATATATTTGGGAAATATATATATATATTTGGGAAATATATATATATATATATATATATATATATATATATATTTGGGAAATATATATATATTTCCCAACAGAAATCCCTGGATAATGTAAGAGTTACATTTTGAGGGTCACATTGCATTTTTTTGAAAATACAGTAAGAATCAGAGCCATTCTGATAACACATGTGAAATCACAGGGTTACTCTAGGACATGGAATGTTATGCTGACTGACCAGGCAGCCAGCTTGGCTGGGAATGGCTGTCAGCTAAGCTCCCTGGAGAACAGGCAGAAACAAGTAGTGCTCAAGTGCTCCCCAGTTTCTGGAGGAACCGTTACCTTAAAATTACCCCAGGACCTAAACATAAATAATTATTTGGTTGAACCTTAACTCTTGTATCATAAAACTTAGATTAGGAGTTCGTGCATCTAAGAATCAGATACTGAGAGATTTTTTGCAGGGAGTTATGTCTTTAATGTTATCAGCCAGAGTTGAGCTACTGGGGAACTGGCACCAAAGTTGCTTAGGCCTGACATTGGTTCAAACAAGACACCTGGGAATCTTTCCTTTTACAGTTTATTTGCAGGGGCAAATAGTCTACTTTGAATTTTCTCAGGGGTCTTAAATCAGCTAATTGTGTAAAAACCTATCTTTGTAGCTGACATATTTTCCTATGTTAGCTTGAGCTATGAAAAATATCCTGGTATTATTTCTATTCATCAAAATTATACAGCTTAAGAAGAAATCATCTTTAGACAGTCCACAGAACAAATACCCATAAGGTTGAGATGTAATCATGAGATTACAGGTACACATTAGATGAAAATGCATGGTAATAGGGAGATTCCACAGCTGTTTTTGCACATGTGAAATGACAGACAGAAGCAACCAGTTTTCAGTGTCGGTGGCCCCGTAAACCTTGTTTGGAACCTGCTAGGTTGACATCTGAATTATTAGTTGTCATCTGCTACAATATAACATGGACCATGGCAGATAACATTACAGTATTTTCACTGATTGTCCTCATATTTTCAGTGATCATTAGTGATATCTACTAGCTTATCCACTTTTATTTTTGTGAACATGACTGTGCTGACCATTCTTTAATACCTTCTTGTTCTGTAATCCCACCAGCAAGAAGTTGAGTTGTTGGGTCATATACCTGGGCACATGTCACACTCATTCACATCCCACACATTAGTCACACACACATACATACACAGACATACACAGCACCACCACTACCTTTAGTCTCACACACCACACACTAATACACATACAGCATGCTTAGCCACATACAAACACATATGTGGTCATGCAGGTCTCTTGATATAGAGCTTGTAAACAGCACAGCCACACATCTAAAATAAAAACAACCCTATGACCTTGTATGTGTCTATCCTATTATTTCATATGGCAGCCATGTTTCACACACAGTGTGCTGCCAGGGAATAGATGTTATGGGTGGAGTTAAACCTGTGTGTTGAGAAAGAAACACTGAGAAAAGAAACTGTGTGTCTGGGCATGTATATGTGTGCAGTCTTCGGGCATAGAGACTTTGATGATGGTTATTACACAACACCGAGGAGTTTCCCTGGAGATTTCATTACACAGGATTAATTAAATCATACAGCAATGGTGACTCCATGGAGGTGTCATAGGCACAGTAGTAACTCAGAGTTGGTTTGGCTCTGCACCAGCCCTTCCCTACACTAGGTGTCCTTTAGTGAGGGGCCTGCTTTTCTGTGACCGTCTCTAGCATTCATTCCTCCTCCCTGCCAACTAATTTTCACTTCTCTCCACCCACCTCCTTAGTCCACATTAGGATGTGCAAACAAGCAAGCACATTACAGAGGCAGAGACTATTTATGGACGGTTTCTTCATTTTTCTTAATTCTTAAATTCAAGCACATCACTTGATGACTGTGTTTGGAAACTGACACTGCAATAGAGGGCGAGATGTTCCCAAGGCAAAGGTCACAAGCTTTTCTGTTCTGGAAAACACACAACTAGGTAGTCAGCAAAACCATTTCACTAATTATTCTTCTGGATAAATCATTGGTACTGAGTGTAACTTCATCTATGAATATATAAACACATGTCTCCATTGAGGTAGCCTTGGTACCTGTACCTTCCCTGCTGTCTTGTTAGAGAGGTAGAGCCTGACTGGCAGGATCGCTCTGAGATAGGCTTGTCCTGTCAGCCCCTACAGTTATTCCAGCCTCCCTTCCTCCCCCCCCCTCTGTGATGTGTGTGTGTGTGTGTGTGTGTGTGTGTGTGTGTGTGTGTGTGTGTGGTGTGTGTGTGCTGCCCTCTGGCTTTGTCCAGGCAAGTGGGCTGCTGGTGTTGACTATGGATGGGAGCCACTGGTTCACCATAAAAATCTGTTTTATATGAACTGTACCACAGAGGCCTTGAGTTAGTGGTGATGGTGTCAGAGGTGGAGGGGAATGGGGAAGATCACTGAATATGGTAGTTTGAAATAAAATGGCCCCCAAAAGGACCAACAGTATTAGGAGGTGTGACCTTGCTGGAGTGGGTGTGGCTTTGTTGGAGGGAGAGTGTCACTGTGGGACTGGGCTTTGAGGACTCTTATGCTTAAGCCAATCTCAGTGTCTGTTTACAACCTGGTTCCTGCTGATCAAGTTGTAGAACTCTCAGGTTCTTCAGCACCATGCCTGCCTGTGTGCTGCCATGTCCAGCCATGATGATAATGGACTAACCTTTTGAAACACTAAGCCACCCCTGTTAAATGTTTTCCTTTGTAAGGGTTGCCTTGGTCATGGTATTTCTTCACCAAGAGACTGTATTATATGAGGAACAGTCACTCAGCTTCTCACTCTCGGGTTTTGACTGAGAGTCAAGGTTGTTGCTGACACTCAGTGGGAAACTCTGGAGGTCATTATGCTTTCTCTATGACATCATCTTTCACTGTGGAGGAGTCTGTTTAGCAAAAGGCAGTTAATATCTTACCCACAGCAGAGTGTTCTGTTTTTGTGTTGTTTTTGTTTTAGGCTTTTGTGGACCCTTTGGATGTGTGCAACTTAGTTGTTACCAAATGTCTTTCCCTTCCACGTGAGATGGTCGGATGGTCAGCAGAGTGATGTTTTGCTCTAATGTTGAAGGAAGCACTCAGGGCTCCAGTCCCTTTCCCGTGTGCCTCATCTTCTGCACCGCCTCCCACATACCCTGACTGTCAGAGTGGGAATTATTTTCATTTTTTGGTTAAGCAATTATTTTCTCATGGAGATCACCTCTGAATTTCTCCAACTCCCTGAGACAATGGTCTCCACTGGGACATTTCCATTTGGTGTCAGGCACTGACTTTACTTTTGACCATCCCATCCTGTGATATTCAACTTGGTCTCCCTGGTGAGATCAATGGCCACCAGGGCTAGTCACTTTCCCAAGTGTGTTATCCAAGTGTGTTTCCTAAGTGTCCCTTAGCACAGGAAGGGAGGCCTGATTTGGATGTTAGAGGGAAAACGGTTTTTTATTAAACTTTTTGTCATTTGTGTTTGTAACATTTATAGTTTCTGGTCCAGTGAAATATTTCTTTCCAATTTCCTTAGGAAGCTTTACACATCTTCACTTGTGTGTGTGTTCAGCAGAATTGGTTATTTATAATTTTCAGGTTGTTTAAAAAATACTAGTTTCATATCCATCCCTTCGAACCACTCCGTTATTCCATCCTTAGGATCTTTGCCCATGGAAGTGCTTCAGGAGACAAGTCTGAAGCTTTCACAATTTTTTGAAATTATTTTGTAATAGATGTATATAAGTGATGCAGTATTTACTTGATTAAAAATATATCTACTTATTGGTGTAGCATACTGCTCCTTGTCTTGTACTTTGCTTGGTAACAGATCACTGACATCTTCACAGGCAGCAGCTTTCAGAATTGCTGTGCTTCAATGAACCATATTGTCTTCCTGATGAGGACTATTCAGCAATATTGGTGGGAGCTCACCACTGACTCCTCCTCGGGGCTCCAGACATATATCGTATTGTCTCCCATCAATGGAGTCGGTAAACCTGTGTAATACAGTGGGATTCCATGCAACAACAAGGATTTTTTGTACCTTTTTTGAGCAGGCCCACTATAGCTCTTCTAACATCTGTGGCCCTGCTTTGTGTTCCAGGCATTTTAGGATTCAGCTTTTTCTTCTGGTTTTTCTCAAGTGATTGTTTGTTTTTTGTTTTTTTGGGTTTTTTTTTTTTTTTTTTTTTTTTTTTTTTTTTTTTTTTTTGGGTTTTTTTTTTTTTTTTTTTTTTTTTTTTTTTTTTTTTTTTGGCAGAGTTACACCTCTGTATACTAGCTTGTAATTCTGCATGGACCAAATAGTGACAACCTCAAGGAGGCAGAGCTCACATTGACTTCTCTACCCGGATGGGCCACTGCCCCTGTCTGGTTATCGGATGGTCTGTCTTTGCTGTCTAGAAACATCACTGTCAAAGTAGATGGATGGCTCTTGCAGTGGTGTCTGGTCCAGGGAGTCACGAGTTATCTTCTCTGGTCAGGCAATTTCTCAAACTGTATCTGACACTGAGCAAAGCTGCAGACTAGTCTCTGAGGTTAGAGTATCCTGCTCAGAGTCAGATCTTCACAGTGCCGATCCGCACAGGATCAGACACTATCTATGTGTTGTGGACTTTTGGCTTAAGATGTGTTTCATTCATTTATGCTGTGGAATATGTGTTTAATGATGCAAACTTATGTTGCACTCATTTATGTTGCATTTGTTTAACTCTGTGAAGGTGTGTTACTTTGCCTGTCTAAAACACCTGATTGGTCTAATAAAGAGCTGAATGGCCAGGAGAGGGATAGGTGGAACTACAAGTCAGAGAGAATAAATAGGAAGAGAAATCTAGGTTCAGGAGAAGGGGGAAGAGCAAGAAAAGGAGAAGGAGAGGAGGACGCCGGAGGCCAGCTACCCAGGAAACAACCAGCCATGGAATAAGAAAAAAAATGAAAGGATATAGAATAGAGAAAGGTAAAAGTCCAGAGGCAAAATGTAGAAGAAGAGAAATGGGTTAATTTAAGTTAAATTAGTAGAGCTGACTACAAACAAACTAAGCTAAGACTGGGCATTCATAAATAAGAATAAGACTCGGTATATTTATTAGGGAGCTGAGTGGTGGGCACCCCCAATAAAACCAACCGCGTGTATGCACAGCGGATTGCCTGTCTTCTGGGGGCAGAGCTGTATGGTGGATTTCTGCCTAAACTGTTTGTCTGAATTCCCAATAAATCAAGTCTGGCTCCTTCTCTAAAGTAAACAGAAGTGGAATTTAGCTGTCAGGGTGGAGCTGTTGCACAACCTTTCAAGTTGAGGGGACCCACTGCTTGACTTCCCCACACAAGCAGGACTAAGTCCTCCAGTTCTGGAACCTGGGAAGGAGGGAGGCTCTGATTCCAGATTGAGTTATTGACCAACTCTTTTCTAGATTATTATAGCTGTTGCTTGTGTTTTTTGTTTGTTTGTTTTGTTCTTTCTTTCTTCCTTTCTTTTCTTTTCTTTCTTTCTTCTTTTTTTTTTACTAATAGGAGAGGTGGCAGTCTCTTAGTATGTCTCTTACCATGGAGTCTCTTACCATGGAGGTGGCAGTCTCTTAGTATGAGGATCATGGCCAGTATATTTTTAAATAAATTATTTTTAGTTTATGTTATTGGTGTTTTCCATACATGTATGTGTCTGTAAGGGTGTCAGAAACCCTGGAATTGGATTTACATATAGGTGTGAGCTGCCAGGGAGATACTGGGAATTGAACCTGGGTCCTCTGAAAGAACAGCCAGTGCTTCCAACCACTGAGCCATCTCTCTAGCTCCCATGCCCACTTTTAAACTTTTTTCAGAGTTCTGCTTCTATTTGCCTTCTTAAAAGAACCAAAATTTGCTCATCTAATGTACACAGAGGTGGACACCTACATACCAGACCAGGTTGCTGGGTCATCTTTCATGGATAAAGAAGCCACTATCGGCTTCCTTGACCAAGCATTGCTAGCTCCAACATATTTCTGGAATGGTTGAGTGGGACTTCTCCTATTTGGGTAGGTTTAGTAGGGTAACTCAGAAGTTGGGCTAGAAGAAGCAGTCCAAGGACTCCAGGTAGTTTTGAACCTCCTCTCCTGATAGAGAAGGAAATCAGCTCAGCTTCAGGGATAGCCTGTGGAGTTGGCATATGTGGCAGCCACAGTGAGATACCACTGAGACATGGAGGCTGGTCACTATGATCACTGCCTTTTTGTTCATGTCCTCCCCCAGGTGGAATCATTAATCCATTACCACTCTACTTCCCAAAGAGGACCTTCTGGGAAGGGTCTTGAAAGGGTAGGAAAAGTTTACAAGTGCCTCTGTTTTTTTCTTATTGACATCATAGGCCTGGGACACTCACCCCATCTGTTGCTGTTCTGTGTGATTTGTGGATGTAGCACGAGAGAGGTACAGAAATGTCAGGCCTGTTTCTACACAAGAGAAGACATAAAATTATACCTTTACACCACACAGAGAAATTAGCTTCAAGATGATGCATGATGGTATAGAAAAGTTAACACCACAAAACTTACAATATCTGGTTAAATCGTCATTAACCTGCTCTCAGAGTCTCTGCAAAGAGGTCACATTGTCTGGTGCCTGTATGTTGAGATGGAACACTGTGCCTACACTGGGCATCACTGTTGTGGACCCAAGTCGAATGGTTCCCTTGACTAATGTTTGTCAGAAACAGTAAGTCATTAGGGGATTGTTTACAAACTCACTGGATACACTGTCATGTCCTGACTCATTATTTAATGCCAGGACTAGGTTCAACATGAGTCTCTTCCTGGAATTGTGGTGAAAGATACAAGTCCTAAGTTCTGATCACTTTGTTCCTAGGAAAGCAGAGCCCCTGGCCATTGTGGCTGGAGTAAATTAATCTGATCATCTTCATTGGAGGCAACAAGCTTTCAGAGGCTCAGCTCTTCATCTTCTGTCTTCTGTCTGGATGTCTGTCTACAAGCCAGGCTCAGAAAGAAAGGCATCCTGTCTTAGAAAGGTTGTAGAAATAACAGAAACTGATCTAACACAGAGAATGTTTCCATTTTGATGGGGACAGTGGCGGTGTAACATTGGTTTACTGGAATCCTACAGCAGGGCAGAGTCCCAAGGCTCAGTGCCTGGCAGTCAAGACTCCTACACCCTCAGATCCATTAAATCACTGCAAAATATAATTGATTTGACCCTAGCCTGTCCTATGTACAATAATGTGCTCTTTAGGGAGGGACCAGCTTTTCTGTGACCTCTAGCTTTCTCTATCTACCTCTTCTTGATGGCACTCACTATCCATTCTTCTTAGTTTCCCTTCTTACAAAGTATAAATGAGCATGTGATGAATGTAGAGGATCCTTATAGGCAGCTTCTTAATTTTTCTTAATTTAAAAAACAAAACATATTGTTTGACAACTCTGCAAAACTATGTCTGCAATAGAGGTCATGATCTTTCTGAAACAAAGTCATACATTTTTTTTTAATCTGGAAGGCACAAAACTAGTGATTTCAGCCAATGAAATTCATTAATTATTGTTCTTTTACATAAATCATTAGCACTAAATTTAACTTCTCTTGGAAACATATAAATACATGTGTCCACTGAGCAAGGTCTTCTGCCTCTGCTCAGTCAGCTCTATAAGAAGAGCTGAGAGTCTCAGCAGCTGGATTGTCCCAGGCTCCACTTCTCCCATGGCTCCTGGAGATCTTCCAGCCTCCCTTCCTCTGTGTGTGTCTGCTGCTGGCCTCTGGCTTTGCCCAGGCAGGCAGGCTGCTGGTGGTGCCCATGGATGGGAGCCACTGGTTCACCATGCAGATGGTTGTGGAGAAACTCATCCACAGGGGGCATGAGGTGGTGGCAGTTGTGCCAGAGGTGAGTTGGCAACTGGGAAAATCCCTGAATTTGACAGTGAAGACATATTCAACTCCTTATACTCTGGAGGAATTCAATCATATGTTCAATTATTTTTCTGACACTCAATGGATAACTCCAGAACAACGTATACTTTCTTTAATAATAGGCTCAGTCAAAGTGTTATTTGAATTAAGAGCTTCACACTGTAGGAGTTTGTTTAACGACAAGAAGTTAGTGGAGTACTTGAAGCAAAGTTCTTTTGATGATGTGTTTCTGGATCCACTCGAGGTGTGCGGCTTAACTCTGGCCAAGTATTTGTCGCTCCCTTCAGTGGTCTTTTCAAGGTATTTCTATTGCCACCATCTTGAAGTGGGCAATCAGTGCCCAAGTCCACTGTCTTATGTTCCTAGACTCTTCTCAAAATTCACAGACACCATGACTTTCACAGAGAGAGTGTCAAACTTTGTTTTCTACATGGAAGAGTGGGCAATTTGTCACTACTTGTTCAAAGCTGCTACAGACATTGCCTCTGAAGTTCTCCAGACCCCAGTGACTATGGATGACCTCTTCAGCCAAGTGTCTATTTGGTTGTTACACACAGACTTTGTGTTAGATTTCCCCAGACCTGTGATGCCCAACATGGTGTTCATTGGTGGGATCAACTGCCAACAAAGAAAGCCGATTTCCAAGGTATGTTGTCTCTTCTTTAGCACATGAAGACAGGCCTCGGTTTAGGCCATTAAAAGTATATTCTTTACTGAGTTGTGATTTACCTTTGGCATCAATTCATTATATAATACATATTTTTTCCTGGTTATAGAATTGTTTTGTGACAATTCACTAATTAGAAAAATCTATAGAGATTTCCCTATTGATATGCATGTGTACATCTGTTTCATAATTGCATATACCTTCTAAGATACAATCTAAATTTAAATATATATGTGTGCCTTCCTATTTGTGTGTTTCGGTCAGGATCATTACATTAGAAAGGGGAGGGGACAAAGAAAAGTTTGCTGAGGAGGAACAAAATGGTCCTGATAGACATGTCACATGAAAACAGAGAGGGGAATATTCGGGAGTAGGAAGAGAACATATGGAGTGTAAGGCTGGCTAGAAAGAGAATGGAATAAAAAGGAGAAAATATACCATATCTGAAAAATGCCATAATGCCGCCAAATAATTTGTATGCTAACTTAGGAAAGATATTTGAAAACACACACACACACACACACACACACACACACACACACACACTCACACACACACACCCTTGAAGCTTCATTTTACTGTTCTTTGGAGATGTTTACATACACATCAAGCAATGAAGCAGACCTCATTATGTGTCAGTTGCTCTATATGAATGCATATGTAGTTTTTCCAAATTGCAAAATTACTGATATGATATATAGGATGCAAGGAAGGTACATTTGTTTTATAACAAAATAAAGTATAATAAGATAAAATAAAAACCACCATATAAAAACGGGTCAAGATAAGTCAACAGAGAAAGAAGGTCATGAAAGGAAGTCACAAGAATCAGAGACTCACTTGTTAACACAGTCAGTAGTCCCATAAAAGCACTAAAACGGAAAGCTATGGTGTATATTCAGAGGGCCTGGTGCAGACCCAAGCAGGCCCCGAGCATACTGCTTCAGTCTCTGTGAGTTCATATAGAGGACTTTGTTCTCAGGGTGTCCTCCATCCCTTCTTTCTCCCTTTTTCTTTCTGCCTCTCTTCTTTGGAGTTCACTGAGCTCTGAGGGAGGGGATTTGGCAGAGCCGTCTCATTTAGAGCTGTGTTCTCCAAGGCCTCTCTATGTAATGACTTTCTGTGTGTCTCTGTACTTGTTCCCATCTGTTGCATGAGGCCCCCAGCAAAATATCTCTGATGATGGCCGACTAAGGCACTGATCCATGAATATAGCAGAATATCATTTTGAGTCATTTACTTGTTACTTTCCCCCTTAAGAATAGGATTATTTCTTTTTACTCTAGCTGTCTGGACTTATTGACTCTGGTTCTTGGTCACCCAATCAGTGTCAGGTATGGGTTCCATTCATGATGATGGCCTTAATTCAAATCAGACATTGGTTGGTTACTCCCACAAGGTTTGTGTCTCCATTGCCCTGGTGTGATTTGCAGACAAGACAGATTGTAGGTCACAGGATTTGTGGTTGGGTTGGTGTTTCTTGTTCTCTTTTGGTAGCTTGAAGACATTTCCATGTCATAGACACTAGAACATGGGTTGAAGGTTTGATGTAGGCACCAGCTCAACCTCTCCATGTTCAATGAGTAGTGCAGGTATTGTCTTCAGCAATGGGGTCTTGGAAGTTTGTGGAGATCAACCTATTGTCTTGGCCACAGCCTGTGTTGTTTGGGAATTTCCATGGGACCCCTTTGACCAACAACTGAATTGGATTGGCACCCTTCCCAAAAAGGAACCTTTGTTTCATAACAGGATATGGCCAGTAGAGGTTCCCTCTCCCTCATTATTTGAGACTCCTTTAGGATTGCCTTCATATATTACAGGAATATAAACTGCACTGCACTAGGTTCTGTTCAGGAAGTCTGTTCCTGAGCCAAGGTACTCAAGGCTATTCTCCACCTTCTCTTCTAGGAGGTCCAATATATCACCTTTTATGTTGAAATCTTTTATCCATTTGGAGTTGAGTTTTGTGCAGGGTGATAGGTATGAATCTATTTTCATTATTCTACATGCACAATGTCTGGATGATACTGTGAATTTTTTTCAGTGAATATTTCTGTCTTATTTATCAGATACCTGGTATTTATAGGTTTGGAGTTTTATGTCCAGATCTTCAATTTGATTTCACTGACCAATGTGTCTATTTTTTTTTTAAACCAATACCATGTTGTTTTTCTTACAATGGCTTTGTAGTATAATTTGAGGTCAAGAATGGTAAGAGCTCTTGTAGTTCTATTATTGTTCAGGACTCTTTCAGCTATCCTGTGTTTTTTTTTAAATTTTCATTTGTGTGTGTGTGTGTGTGTGTGTGCATGTTTCTGTGTGTGTTTCCATATGAAGTTGCGAATTGTCCTTTCAAGGTCTGGGAAGAGTTGTTTTTATCATTTTAATGGGGAAAGCATTGAATCAGATTGCTTCTAATAGGATGGGCATTTTTATTGTGTTAGTCCTGCAAATCCCTGAGCATGGGAGATCTTCCATTTGTTATTTTCATTAGTTTGTTTCTTCACAGACTTGAAGTCTTTATCATATCACTCATTCATTTCATTGGTTGGAATTATCCACAAGATATTTTATATTGTTTGAGGCTATTTTGAAGGGAGCTAGCTGTTCTGCTGATTTCTTTCTCAGTCTGTTTGTCATTTATATATATATACAACAGGACTATTGATTTTTCTGAGTTGATTGTGTATCCAGCTCCTTTACTGGATGTGTTATTCAGCTGTAAGTGTTCCCTGGTGGAATTTTTAGGGTAAGGTATGTACACTATCATATCATCTGCAAATAAAGAGCATTTGACTTCTTCCTTTCCAATTGGTATCCCCTTGATCTTTTTCAGTTGCCTTATTGCTCTAGCTAAGACTTCAAGTACTATATTGAATAGGTGTTGGAAGAGTGGACAATCTGTAAGTCATAAAGATAAACGAAGTTCTTTTCCTTACATTTCACTTGCCATTAAGTTAGACACAGTCAAAACCAAAAATTAACAGATTTGACATTTTCCTTTATTGGTAACTATCATGGTCTTTTGAGTGCTTGTTCCAAGATCACATCTAGGGTATGCAAAATAATCTATGATATCAATGAGAACACAAAACTTTTCTGTCTGAGAGGTAGGGAAGGAACACACCCATTTTGATGCTAACTTTCTTTATTCCTCTATCTTGAACATCTCTTTCTTACCACGTTTTTCTTTATATAGTTCTATATCTATATCTATATCTATATCTATCTATCTATCTATCTATCTATCTATCTATCTATCTATCTATCTATCTATGTATCTGCCTCTCTGTCTCTGTCTCTGTCTCTGTCTCTCTCTCTCTCTCTCTCTCTCTCTCTCTATATATATATATATATATATATATATATATATATATATATATATCCATCAGAAATCCCTGGATAATGTATAAGTTACATTTTGAGGGTCACTTTGCATTTTTTGAGAATACAATAAGAAGCAGAGCCATTCTGATAACACATATGCAATCACAGGGTCTCTAGGACTTGGAATGTTATTCTGACCAACCAGGCAGCCAGCATGGCTGGGAATGGCTGTCAGCCAAGCTCCCTGGTGAACAAGCAGAAGGCCTGTAGTGCTCAAGTGCTCCCCAGTTTCTGGAGGGACAGTGACCTTAAAAGTACCCCAGGACCAAAACAAATTAGTTGAACCTTGAATCTAGTCTCATAAAACCATATATTAGGAGATGGTGCATCTAGGAGTCAGACACTGAGAGAATTTGTGCAGGGAGTTATGTCTTTAATGTTAGCAGCCAGAGTTGAGCTATTGGGAAACTGGCACCAAAGTTGCTTTATGCCTCACCTTGGTTCAAACAAGACACCTGGGAATCCGTCGTTTTGTGGTTTATTTGCAGGGGGCAAATAGTCTACTTTGAATTTGCTCTGAGGTCTTCAATCAGCTAATTGTGTAAAAAACTATCTTTGAAGCTGAGAATACTATTTTCCTATGTCATCCTGAGCTATGAAAAATATCCTGGTATTATTTCTATTCATCAAAATTATACAGCTTAAGAACAAATCATCTTTAGACAGTCCACAGAATAAGTACCCATTAGGTTGAGATGTAATCATGAGATTACAGGTACACATTACATGAAAATGCACGGTAATAGGGAGATTCCACAGCTGTTTTTGCACATGTGAAATGACAGACAGAAGGAATCAGTTTTCAGTGTCGGTGGCCCCATAAACCTTGTTTGGAACAGGATAATAGCAGAGAGTTATTCATCTGCTAAGTTGACATCTGAATTATTAGTTGTCATCTGCTACAATATGCCATGGACCATGGCAGATAACATTACAGTATTTTCACTGATTGTCCTCATATTTTCAGTGATCATTAGTGATATCT